CGAATCCGATGTTCTCGTGTCCTTAGACACACCCCGTTATAGTTTTCCTCTGGGGTATCACCGGGACGGAAAGTCATTCTCTCTTGCGGTCTCATCGACAAAAAAGGATTGACTCCTTACGGTCAGCGAATATTAACACAGAATCCGACTTAGATTTTGCGAGTGCGTACGACTACCGTCCCGTTGTCCGCGGATTCGTTATTGAACCTAGGATCATTGTCATTAGTCTCTCGAGTATCTAATTACCACGGTTACTTGTCCGGTTCTATGGTAATCGTATTTGCACTAGCCAATGTCTTCTCTATTGCATAACGACGATTCGCTTTACGCCCCTAACCCTAATTCTAATGTACACCCGACATACATTTATAAAACATAGAAAAGATTGTGTGAAACAATATTAAATAGTTTTGAATAACATATCGCCTCATACAGAAATAATGTATTTTTAACAGAATCCTATGTTTCATATAACTGTTTCATATAACTCTAATTCCGATGAAATCCGATTGAATGGAAAGCTACGTGTTATTCCAACAAGAGTTAAGAAGAATTGCAAGGTTTGTTTTCAACGAAACAATCCCAGTGAAAGATATTAAGCAACATATGACTGCAATACTTGCCCCGACAAGCCGAAAATACATCTTGACGATTGTTTTATAAAATACCATACAAAGCGACAATACAGAGCTTAATATTTAACGAATGTCCTTCTTTCAGATGTAAGGATACATAAAATATTAAAATATAATAGTTATATACGTTAATTTGTATAATTTATATTAATTTGTATATGAAATCATTTTAAGTTGTAAGCTATAAGAGACTCACCAAGTTTTTTTTATTTATTTATTTAAATTTTACAATTTGTCCAGTAGGACATTAGTGGTATAATAATATAACATGTGGATGGTTACCCCCAGTGGGGTTCCATCTGCCAAGTTGTTTATTTTATTTCTATTGTGAGGTCTGCGAGATACTTCTTATTCAGTCTTCTTTCTATTATGGTTTTATTCGTTTCAGCAACTAGCTGGTTTGGGTGTATTACAAGTCTTTCTTTATACTTTTTTGCATATCTAGCGATTTCCTCTTTGACTGTTGGAATTTTTAAATCTTTTCGTAAGTCTTCATTTCTGACGTACCATGGAGCGTTAACTATTGTCCTTAAAATTTTTGCTTGCTCTGTTTCTATTTTATTTATGTGACTCATTGCTGCCGTCCTCCATAGTGGAACTTCGTATGTCCAGATTGGTTTGATTATTGTTTTGTATATATTTAGTTTATTCATTATGCTTAATTTGGCTTTTCTATTGGTACATCCAGTACATCTGCTTCCTCTTTTTACGTATTCTGTTTATTATTGATTTTATGTGATGCTTCCATGTAAGGTGTATGTCTAAATGTATTCCTAGATATTTGACTTGCTTTGTTTGTGCTATGCGAGCGCCATTCAGTTGAATATCTGGTGTTTTTCCTTTTCTAAATGTAAATGTTGTGTAATTGCACTTACTGGTGTTCGCTTTTATTTGTTTGTTTTGCAGCCACTTTTCTATTTTTGTAATGTGTTCTTGTAGTATTGCGGCTGCCGTTTCTAGATTTGCGTGCTTCACTAGTAGTATGGCCATATCGTTCGCGAACGTTAGTATTTTGCTGTTGACAATTGTTGGTATGTCTGCCGTATATAGTGTGTATAATATTAATCCTAGGACGCTTCCTTGCGGTACTCCTACCTTGATATCCTTAATTTCAGAATATGCATCATTTATTTTTACTACAAAGGTTCTATTGTTTAAGTAAGATTTGTGTAGTTTGTAGATTTGTTCTGGAAATTGCTTTTTGAATGTTTGAAGAAGTTTTTCATGGTTAACTTTGTCAAATGCTTTTTCGATGTCCATAAAGAGTGCCGTGCAATATTGTTTTGTTTCCAGCGCCTGTAAGATTTCATTGACGAGTCTGTGCATTTGTTCTATTGTGGAGTGTTTATTCCTGAATCCAAATTGATGGTCCGGTATTAGTTTTTCTTTCTCTATTGTTGGTTTTAGGCGATTATATATGTGAGATGGTGTGACGTCAGGAAAGGACATGGCGTGAGGGATGATTGTCGATAAACATTGTCAAGATATGTTAATATTGCCAAGGAGTGTTGTGAGCGTTACCAAGGTTTGTTAAAGGAAAAATGAGTGTGGAAAGTGCTATCAGAGTTGAATTTATCGTGGTCGAGAGAAGTTCGTCGTGTTGTTGTGACGTAGAATTAGTGAAAAACGAATTCGCGAAACGCGATATTATATTCGATTTTGTGAGAGTGCAACGATATTGTGTTTATCATACTGTTTTTTCTGTTAACTTATAATGTAACATTCCTACATATATTATTTTTTCTAGTAATTTGGAAAACACAGGTAGTAATGATATTGGCCTGTAGGATGCCGTTAGATGTGGGTTTTTGTTTGGTTTGGGTAACATTACGATCTGTGCTATTTTCCATACTGCAGGAAAGTACTGTATTCTTAGAATTGCGTTGAATATTATCGTTGTTAGTCATATTGTCTTTGGGGGAAGGTATTTTAAGATTTTTTCATTGATCATGTCGAATCCTGGTGCTTTACTTGTCTTTGTTGCCTTAATTAAGTTTGTAACTTCTTACTCTATACTCTCTTGCTGAGTATGGTGCAGCGTTTATCAGTTGTGTTGCTGACATTTTCCACTTCTTCATTTGTTTGCCATCTGGGGATGCTGTTATTAATTTCGTACGGTGAAAATATATTTTGTAGGTGCTTCGAAAATTCTTCTGCCTGCTCTTCGTTGCTTCTGGCCCATGTGTTGTCCATTTTTCTGATTGCTGGGATTGATTTTATTGTTTTCTTAACTTTGTTAGTGACTTTCCATAGTGTGTAGTTGGTATTCTCATGCGCGGATAGTGATTCGATGAATTTTGAGAATTCGAATGAAGTTTGAGAATTCGTTATTATGATGTTCCCTTATTTTATTCTTTAATTCCTTTGTAAGTTTATTTGGATTTTTCTTGTTTTCTTGTGTTCTCTGTTTTTTGATATTTTGCTCTCGCTTTTCTTTTTTCCCTGATTTTATCTAGGATGTCCTGTGGAATAATTTTTGATTGCCTGCTATCTGATTCATGGGTGGTGGTTGCCCACGCTGCTTCCTGTATTATTTCTGTCATAGTTGCTAAAAGATGCTTGTTTGGTCTGAAGGACCTTAACCGTGAAAATGCCAAGATTTATGGACCAAGGCACCGGCGCCAACAGAGCCGAAAATTGCCGGACTTAGGTGGTCTGCTCTCAGGTATTGCAAAAACAAAGGAAGCGCGACGAGCGAAACAGTCACATAAGAAATGAGGCAAAAACGATGATAGCGTTCTTTGATCCGAAGTCTGCCAAAAATAGGACGACTCTTAACGCTTCTTGTTCTGAACAAACTAAATAAATTAGCGAACAAGAAAGAGCAATAGGGAAGGATGCTGAAGAACCTGTCGTTACATTGCGTAGAACACCGAAACGTGGTGATTGTAGCAAAAATGATATAATAGAATGACTTCAGTACGATAAAGACAATAGTTCTAAATTTTACACAGGCTGAAATGGCAAATGAAGGTAATGACGAGCATGTGCCTTCTCACCGTAGCCTCGAAACATTTGAAATATTGCTTGCTTGAAATGCGTCATTGGTTTCAGGTAAAGAGCAAAAATAAAATCTTTAAATATTGAAACAGTATCAATTTTTTTACTTCCATTTAAATAAATAAAGTTTATTATAAAAAAAGTTTAATATAAAGTTTAATATAAAAAAGATTAATAACACGGATACACATCTATGAAACGAAGGTTGAGCGATATTTATACAGTATATTTAAGTTTTAAACTACTCAAAACATTGATCTTAACAAGATCAATTCTGAAGATCACTGAAATTGATGAAATATGTCCATTTGTAGATAATTATCAAAACGTATTCCGAATTAATATTTTTAGAAATATTATATTATTAAGAAATACATACTTTTGCTAGAGATACCGCGGTATGGCAAGTTCCACTACCGGAATTCTCTTTTTTTTGCGACCTTTATATCATTTCGAGGTTACGATCCTATTCGATGATTGAGACACCATGTATACGAATATATAATTCTTTGTTAGTGTATGGTTAGTTTTAAAATTAGTATATAATCTATTTCTGTTTCAAATTAGAATAATTATTCTAACTTATCTCTTCAACTATGAATATAGCGATATATAAATGTTCTTTTTAATATTTATAAAATTTTAATGAAATTTGGTTTTCGAAAAATGGAGTTACAAGGTGAACGTTAAACGACAAGAGAAATATACAATATTTTATCAAAACAACTAAGTAATTAAATTATCGATTAATTTTAAATACGTGTATTTATGAACCACTACAATTTATTAGAATTTAGATTTCCATTTAAACAATAATGAGATAAGCATAAAATATATCGCTTTGCTCTAATTTAAAAGGAAATATTTTTTCAAGAAGTATATTTCAAGTTCATTTTTTAAATAAAAAATAATTTTCAAATACCTTGACGTAGTTTCTTTTATGTCATTCACTGCTTCTGTTGCTTTATTAATGTCACGACAAGCTAAAATCACTCGAGCACCTAAAAAATAAAAAGTATCTTATTATTTTTGTTAATATAAATATGTAATACGTGTATGTAATGTATAATACAAACTACAAATAAGTTATGATTAAAACAGTTGTATATTTGAAAACGTATTATAAGCTATATCATATCCGTAATTGCTATACACGTTCTCTATAAAGTAAAGAAGAATCGCACATTAACTTACAATCCTCTTATCAGATGGCATTCTTGTCTTTCTATTTATCACCTGATATTAACACTAAACCTACCGATACTTCTTGTATACCTATTTCTACCGTGCCCAGTCAAAATAACCGTTCCTTTAAAAAAAGTTATTGTTTTTATAATTAAACGTAGAAAATATATATGTCGGGTTTGTCGGGTTGGCGCTAGTTTTAGGGGCGCGTTGCGTATCTTCATTAGGACAAGCCATCGTAGTTGTTCAATGAGGTTTATATCTACAATTATGTGTTCAAGTGTTGATTTAACTAGGTTTAACAATTTAACGTGTTTATTAGTCACTCTTAAAGTAAAGACAATGTTCTTAGGTTCAAACGAATCCACGGTCAACGGGATAACTCTTTGTGCAATTGAATATGTTTTGAAACTCAAAATGACGTTAGCTGTGACGCACGGTATCCTTCTGACTGTTGAGAGATGTTAGGTTGGTATGATCGCTAGTTACTACAAGTTAAGTTGGTACGACTTCTAACGACGCTCTTTTGTCTTAGAAATCGACCACGTGTTAATTGACCGAGTGTATTCTGTGTGTTAAGACGTGTTGTGCGAGGCGGAAAAATATATTGGAGAAAATCGAATCTGCGTGAATCGATTAATTATTAACCCCAAACCCATATCAATTAACACTGACTCATTGACCTGACGTTGTGAGTAAACTCTCCAAGGAGATCATAAGAATAAAAGACTGACACGATCACATTTGTGATTGCGTATTGACCGGAGTTATCAACAAAATTCCAGGCGCCGTTACTAGGCAGACCCGTGTAGAGCCGTCATTGCTCCTGCCCCGGGGCTTGTTTGTTAATACAGCGTGTATCCCTCAATATTGGTACTTCTACTGTTAAGTAAAAACATTCATCCCATGACCGTGGCTACGTTCGGCGATCAGTTGTGTTACTTCGAGCCCAAGCCCACTGTCACAAACCTCGGACAAACATAATCAGATCGTATCACAACTACTACTTCAAAGTTCTATTATTTAAGTACAGCTATAATGAATAGTTTAGCCCAAAGTATTGGGAATCTTCCCAAAATTCCAAAAGAAAGGCCCGTTGTCCCTACATCTCCGACATATAAATAGTGAATTTGTTGCTGAATGAATTAGTATATGAACAACTTCCATAAAATGACGATACAAATTTATTTTTATATAATTTCAATTATAAACTAAAAAAGGGACAAACAAAATTATTACAGGCAATTACAGAAGCAGAATTGATGGAAAGTGTGGAATTAAATAATTCAGAGGTTTTAAGTGCAGATAAGAATGAAGGAGTGAGTCATGTAGGAGGAAAAGTTGCACTTGAAACTGCGATGAGATATATTGAGCAGCAAGAAAATTCATCTGCAATTGATATCTTATTTTTTAAAAAGTGGCGCGATATCGGATTAATAGATGAGATTAAACCAAAAAAGCAGAAAAAGATTACCAATTACTTTGTAAAAAAAAGTAATATTTTATAAATATTGTTTATATGTATATACTAGGTATGTACAGTAGAAGTTATTGATATAGTTAGTCGTTAATCTTTGTTCTGTAACTATCTAGAAATAATAACTGAAACATGTCTGATTAAACGGCCATGAGCCCAATCCTACAGCAGCCGGTTAAGTGTAAGTATACTGTATATATAATATATAACATTTTAGTCAATAAGCACTCTTTTTATAGAATAAAAAATTTAGTTATAAGGTTCACAGAAAACATCGCCATTAATAAAAACAATTTAACAGTAGTAGTGCCTCTGAATTTGCAAAAATTTAATTGTGCATAAAAATATATAACATAAAATAGTTACGCATAGGTAATTGGTAAGAACTCTTGTTCTTATTACTCTTTTTGTTGCTAAGTAATAATAATTTTATTGAATCATGTACTTTGCCTTAGTAACATTAAGAATATTTCTAAAATTTCATATTGATTACAATATAACAATACCTTAGTTACGTTAATATATAATGATTATAAATAATGAGTCTGTATTAGATGTAAGAAACGATAAACTAAATATTTGACTGTATTTGAAATTGTACATACAGTAGGTAACAAGAAGATTTAAACATTATACAACTTTAATTTCTGAGCTCTATATTTTCAGTAAATCTACAAGGACCAACAAAAATGTATTACATTACGTTAAACTGCGCTATATAGACAACAACAGAAGAAATCTTTTGAGTTATTATTTATTGTCATCTAAATATTAAAAAAAAACATTGAGAAAGAATGAATCCTTATATCATAAAAAGTTTTGGACACTAATACTAATTATGCATATAAAACTAAACAACAACTAAATTATACACATAAAATTAAAACTAATAATGACTATTCATATTTAAAATTTGACATTAAGTTGGATAATCCATATGTTTGATGACATGATGTAAACATTTTGGCACAATGGAAATAAGTTTATTTAAATAATCAACAATGACTTGTTTCCATTCTTCTTTCAAACGTTTTTTTTTCATTGTTCTATTGACATTTCTAACATTCTGTTAATTCTGCAATCTAATTCCTCCGATACATGTTTCGTAGGATTTAAGATCAGGAACATGTAAAACATGTGTACAATTACAAAGAAAAGATTCCTGTACAATCCATACCTTATGCTTTGGATCGTTATTCTGGAACAGCTTAAAAGTCTCATAAATCCCCATATTAAAAGTATTTTCTTGAAAATTGTTCTTTTAATGTATAAATATTTATGTAAAATGTGTAAATATGTATAAACTTTTACCGAAAATACTGTAACATAATATAATACACTTCTATTGATCCTTATACATTTATTGAAATTATAGAACTTAGAAATCAAAATTATATAGTGTCTGAATCTCTTTTATGAGCAATTATATATTAAATTCAGGTATATTCCAAGGAAATTTCACGCGATATTAATAATAGTATTAATAATAATAATGTATTAATCAAAGTGTCCATACATATATATTTATGAAGAATGAATGTAGTAATTACAGTCATATGTTTCCACCCATAAATGTATCAAAATACACTTATGTTTTTTATTGAAACTATAGGAAATTTTTAAAGAAAAAACAAATTTCTACAACAAATCATACACAAATTCATAATACACTCAACAAGACCAATCTAATAACATAAAATTTGTCATGATCGCTGAATGTTCCAATTCCTAGGAATGTTTTTAAACTTAAAATAATACAAATATAGTATATAAATATAATAAACATAAAACAAATAGTTATGTATAAATACTTATAATATAAATTCATTCAACCTTCGATAATATAATATTTATTTATTCAACAATATCGTTTCTAATTTTGGAGTAATTATAATAAAGTAGATTATCGTAAAGTAGAGAACATCACAATAGATTATAATTAAAAAAAAAACAAAAAATATTCTTTCACATAAATATTTCATTCTTTTATCTTCAAGTTTTTAAAAAATATGACATTAGTAATCATAAGCAAAGTAATACTATAATAATCCAAGCTTGAATAAACTTGGTGTGACAAATTGATTTAACAATGCAAAAAGTAATCTTTAATGGACTACTTTGAATAAATATGCTTCTAATTATATTCTAAACGATATAATACTAATAATATATAATAAATAATATATTAATAAAGGAGCATATACATATATGTATGTATGTATGTACTATTAGTGAAATTTTACTAGTTACACTTTACTGCTATTGGTTAAAGGTTATAAAGTACTGTAGTGCTAATAAGCTCTTTTGCATAACAGTAGCAAATTTAATAACGAAACAAGCTAAATTTTGTATGTCAATTTTATAAATTACTAAAATATCTAGTCTTAGTATCTCTCATATTCGATGGGTATTCGATGTAAAATAATATAATTGTTCAACGGAAGTCTGAAACCTAAAACTTATTACACATCAATCCAATAATGGTATTATATCAAAATTATAAAATAATAATTTATGAGAAAATTTATATACCACTTTCGATATTGACGCTTATTTCTCACTGTTAAGATTAATAGTAATGAAGAAGTTAAATATTTAAATAATATGTGCATGCAAAGTACAAAGCATAATAATTTAATTTTTGGTTAAACTACATTTTAGGGAATACGAAATTATTAACTTTTTGTGCAATCTTATAGTTTTATATGTGTTTTTACCTAAAATGTGGTGTCAAAAATATTTCCTAATATGTAATATAATCCAATTTTTTATATATTTACCTATGTAACTTACTGCGAAGAACATATAGAACATATATGCATTTTATATTGTGGGTTACAAAAATAATTTATAACCTTCACAAAATATATGTAATATATTAAAACTTACTCAGGTAATGTAGATTATATAGAGATTTATATACATTTTATTACACATATTATATAGGAATAAGTACAGTTAAATCAAAATAGTATGAAAAATAAAGAAGAGGATAAGAATCTATTAAAATAAATAGTGAAATTTGTCTTATAAGACAAATATGCCACAGTACTTAATGGAAAGAGATATAAGAGAAAACCAGTCTTATGACAAGGTGCAAATCTAGGGCAAAATGAGGTATTATGGAAAAGAATATGGAAAATAGATATTGGAGAAAAGAAGAAGAAAGGATGTGCAAGATATGTGAAAGGAATATGGGAAGGATTAAATACCTGGTGGGTAGATGAAGTAGTGGAATAGCTTAGAAGCACATATAGAATAAAAATAGAAGAGAAATTGATACCAAATAGAAATCAAGTTCCATTTCTTAAGTACAACATCACAGTTAAATAAACATATATGTATATATAAATATATGTATATTTATATATGTAAATATGTGTACATATATATATATGTACTGTCTGAATTTATAAAGCTCTATATCATGATCATATAAAAACCTTGTCCTATACACATACATATGCATAAATGTACATGAGTTTCTTACTTGTTCATGTAACATTGTAATAGACGGTATTATTAGAAATATATTAACTGCAAAAATGAATAATTAGATATTATCGTATAATAAATTATAATTGATATTTTCCCTTGAAATTTCTCAATAATTAAATGTCTGTAAGAAACAAAATTATACATTGATAGAATTATTATTTTGTAGATTTATAGGTAAAAATATTTGAAAATGCAAATGCAAAAATTGCTCATAATGTATAAAAATATATAAAATATTCCAAGGATGGTTTTTCTTATGATATTCAGTGGACACAAAAAATCTTCCGGAGACTAAATTTTATATCTTTAATGATGTTCATAAAAATATAAATTTGTATAAACATCTGCAATTTATTCATAACACTGAGAATTTATTTTAGAACCTGTTATCACATTCATACTTATATTGATAATATTAGTAACAGTAATAACTTGTATGTAATATATTTTGTTTAATTTAAATGTTACAATGTAATACTTATGTCACTAAGTACATGAATACATTTAATATATGATCTACTTATGACAATATTTGGCATTAATAAATTTTTAAACTCTTCATAACTAAAGTGGAATATTAATATGTGTAACGTAATAAATTCATGACATAAATAAGTAAATATATATATATATATGCTATATATATATAATATAAGATACTAAATGCAAATATAACATATATAATGTACTAATTGTGCTACAAGTACAACATCATTAACTATGTAAAATATATAAAATTATAAATGTAATATTTCAAAAATTATCTCATAACTATATGAATGAATTATATATGTCAATAACATAAATAGTGTAAATATTCTTACCTCTTCTATATATGTCCCTAGCTGTTTCTTTCCCAATTCCACAATTTGCACCTGTTATAATTACAGTTTTTCCCATCAAACGAACATCGTTGTTACAATAGTTACTAAAAAACCTCATATTTAAAACAATTTGCTCTTACTAATTGCAATAACATACAATAAAAGAATCTATTTATCCAGAACTTCGATCCGCCTTCTGAAGTATAACGATGCTTTCTACCTTTCAATTCCACTCACTTCGTCATCACATTGAGCGGGTATACCGTACTTGCACCGAACAGCATACCGTACTTCCATATAAAAGGAGTGGGGTACGCAATAGTGATTATATAGCAAATAAACTCTGCAAAATTATTGATATCGTTATCAGAATGACGATATAGTTAAACGTCCTAAAACAATCATTGATTGATAAACAGATTATAGATATTTCTACACATTAAATATCTAAAAACAATTTAAAATACGCAAATAGGTATGTATAAAAATATGCATAATATACTAACAACACATATGACATAAGTTTTGTCTATACATGTAATAATAATATACATATAGCAGTATCATCTATGATACATTATTTAATAATGTACATATATAGATTTTTTTTTCATAGATTTCATAAATTCATAGATTTACTTTTACAGTCAATCTGATATATCATAATTTACGTTACAATAAATTACCAACATTTTATCCAAATTTGAATTGTCAATTTTCTGTAAAATACAACCATTGCCTACTTGTTAAATTTTTCGATATCTTAGTATGTCTGTTTCTTATTCGATTTCCAATTCAGGTTACAGATAATGCAATACATTTAAGCAAACTAAACTATTTAAAATTCGAAACACTAAACTAGCAAACAATTAAAAATTCTGAACATGCAACTTGATGTAATATACATAAAGTTGACCACATTAACTGCATATTATCCACACGTTGCAGTTATTGTGCGAGAGTTTACTGATAAACTAACTCAATTTTATAAGATAAATATATCATACAATATGGATAAACCTTCTTGGATATGTCCTTAAATATAAGTAAGAAAGTCATATGTAATATGTAGAAGACACAAAATAAACAATAATTCTCTAATCACGTAATAAATTTCTATTTAGGTATAATTTCTCTATTTGCATTATATTGAATTATGTATTTATATGAACATCCATTGTCAAAATTATTTATTAAATTAAATTATTATTATAATTAAATTAAATTATTTATTAAAAATTAAATTATTAAATATTACCCATTTTATTAATTTCTCTCGTTTTTTGTACTTGTTATCGTTTGACAATAGTTGATTCCCAATTTTTAAATTATTATCATTAAAGTACTCATTTCCTTTCGCAAAGTGGATTAACAAGAGAAGTTCAAAAATCTTCAACAGTTGTGTTTTCTTTAAATCTTCGTTAACTGATTAATAGATTTCGGTTTAAAGATAAATGAAATGTACGCGAAGACGCTGTCGTAACAAACCTATCGGAAAATTGTATCTTATTAGTTGTCATTAAAAGGAAATAAAATTTATAAAATCAATATTTAGTTAGAAAGAAAAATCGTTATCTTCTTGTGTTTAGACTCATTTTCATTAATTTACGGAATTTTATACATAACAAACATATTATAAAACTGAATCTGCAATGTTTTCATTATTGGACAAGCATGTTGTTGCCGTGTTATGTTGATGTTATGTTGATTACAGTAAGAAAATTTTTAGATAGCAGAACATCTATATATTAATATTACAGGGAGAATTATGCAAGTAACGTATGACAAAAGATAAATTTTATTATTATATGCCATAAAAACATTGAAGTCCTTGTTCCAATTCATACTACAATATACAATTGCAATGGTATTATGTAATTCTTGCTACTTTTGTAATGCTCTCATACTTTTAGCGCTTCTATCACTTATCTTGTTTCGATGGTTAGTCACAAGCTTTTTATTTGAAATTATTAATATCTAACCTTTGGAGTACGAGAGATCTTCGAACTTTATGTTTATTTAAAGTATCTTACATTTTAAGTATCTCTTATTGTCGTTTTGGGAATGCCTGTTCACGACCAAAGTACAACGTAAGTAAATAAGGTACCTTAAGGACATCTTGATTTATACATAAGACGTTCAAAAAATATGTTGTTACATTTGTGAGATATTACCAGTACCAGATGTCATAAAGATGTCTAAGAGCAAGAACCTTTAAACAACGTCTAGAACAGACGCCTTTGTGCTGTACGACATAGTACTAAGTATACAAAATGTGAATATATAAATAAATATTTTTTTCATTGTTATTTGATATTTCTATTACATAAAATTATAGTTTTACACAGAATGTTTATTAATTTTATTACCAATTTTTACAATTCTGCATATAAAATACAATTTTTCGAGCATTGGCCTTTATAAGGTTTTATTTTATTATTATCGTTCCTATTGCCTTTATCATATGTTTCTAAAATGTTGTCGTATTTGTTTCAAATTCAATAACTCATCAGTATGTGTTTATTATATTAGCTAAAGGTCTTGCTCATCCTTGTTCATCCAATGTTATCTTCGCTATTTGATTGTTCCCAAATACGTATCTAGTCCTCAATGTATAACTTAGCAGTCTGTATGTAATGTAAAATATCAATGTAAAATACCAATTTCATATTAAAGTAACAGAAGAAATATATTGTTCAGATAATTAATAGAATACTTGAATAATAGATATACCAATCAAATTTGTATATAATTATGTATACGGTATACATTCTATTGCATATTATACAATACATATATTTACTAAGTGTTCAGTGAAAGTTAGAAGTAATTTCAATATACAAGTCTGTGAAACAAAATGAGATAAAAATAAGAAACCAGAAAAGTATATTAAAAAGATTGATTTTTATTTATCTCATTTCATTTATTGGAGTCTTTCATGATTAGTTGATGAAATATTTAACCAAAGTACAATCTTAATCATTGCATAATTTTATTAATTTAATTTTATACTTATAATACCAAACAAAGCGACTAAAGTAAGTAACCGTTAGAGTTTGAATACCGATTCCCGATTTACTGTTTCTTGCCACTAGGATTTATTGAATTGATCAATCATATATATGCATATATAGTGGAAAGGTGCTCTCAGTTTCGGTTAACGACTCGATGATTAAGGACATATCTTCCTTTTAGTTCGAAAGACAAACGGTAAGTTTCATGGTTTATACAATGCTACGGTAGCTTTTTTTAAATACATCTCCATCGATTCGATGATATGGTATACCATTGTGATAGTCGTGACGTACTTACATAATATTGTATACACCTTATATAGATAAAGTTCATTTTATCATGTATGATTTCAAATTGGGTCGAGGAATTCTAAATACGAAACGAATGCTAAACATAAGCAAAAAGATCGATAAAAGTTTAAAGAAACTGCATGAATAATACGTATATTTTATTCATTACATGAATCTTTTATTTGCCATACAGGGTGAGTGAATAAGAATTACTATCTAAAATAGCTCGTTACATATTGGTTTTATCAAAAAGCGTTTTAAATGAAATTCAAAATTCATAATCATAGATCGTAGTTCCATACAAAATGATACTATAGATTTTATAATATTTTCCCATTTCGCTGTGATAAAGATATCATCCTTATCTAATAAAAGGAATATATCGCTAACTTTTAAAATGAGTGTAATACATATGTACTACACAATATCTTCCTCTGTATAATTCTGATATTATTATAATTTACTTCATGCTACTACGATTATCGGAGACTAATATAATGATATAAGTGGATGCAATATTATCAAGTACATAGAAATTTTATATCACAGCTTTGAAGTAATTAATATGTTATAGGTATGGTATGTGTATAATCAGCAATAAATTAAACTTCTTGGTCATTAGTACTTCATTTTCTATTTCAAATATTAGATATTAAAAATGCTTTTGTTAATAATTTATTATATATTATTTTGTTATACTATTTTATCTTATCATATTTATCACATACATACATATAACATATAAATGATAACCCATTAACAAAACGTTTTATCGCCGACACATCGAATTCAGGCGATGGTACGCAACACATTGAAATTCTATGTGTAAACTGGACAGAGAACGATGATGCAAAGTTAGAAAGAGATGATACAATAAGAAAGGAACGACACATTCGTGGGCACGAACAGGCACCAAAAGGTGCAGACACATAGTCTTCAAAATCAGTCCGATGTGGTCACTTTACTCCTGAATTCTTGTTAAATCTTTTCCATTAGAAAATTGTGATACTTACTTCAATCCATTTTTTACATTATTGTATAAGTGCAATGTACACATGGTTGCAGAAGTATAGTCCATATATGACAAAAAAGAAGCTATATTATATTAAGTTTTACTCTGCTAATTTTGCAAAATGTAACATCGAAATGAATGATCATCAACCAAAAGCTTTCAATAATATTCCTGGACCAAAATCTTTACCAGTTATTGGAACACTTTACAAATATCTACCATTTATTGGTAAGAAAATCAAACACAATTTAAAAATTACTATACATGTACATCTCAACATCAATTAATAATTCAATCAAATAATTCAAACAAATAGAAACATCTTGATGTAGTATTTATGATATAATTATAAAAGGAAATTATACGTATTTACTATACATACTACCATATCTGATTATAATCATTGTGTAAATGAATTTTTTATTACATTAAATAAATATGTATTTGTATATTTTCAAGTATGACACATAGTACTTTTAAAAAAGTTAGAAAAAGCGATCTCTTATATAAAAATTTCTTTTTCGCGACTGTCTAATATTACAACCTGATTATATTAATACTGTTTTATTTAAATTTGTTAATATTTAACAGGTGAATATAGTTTTACAAATTTATATGAAAGCGGAAAAAGAAAATTGGAACAGTTTGGGCCGCTAGTACGCGAAGAAATAGTACCTAATGTAAATGTCGTATTGGTTTATAGGCCGGAAGATATAGCAGAAATTTTCAAAGCGGAATCAGGTTTGCATCCAGAAAGGAGAAGTCATTTAGCACTTTTGAAATATCGAAAAGATCGCACTGATGTATACAAAACTGGAGGTTTATTACCCACGTAATATACATATTTTTACGGTTTACAATAATTTACTATAATTTTTGCAGAAATTTTATATAGCTTTATAGCTAACTTTATATACCTGATGTTAGACTATAAATGTTTCCAATTAATATGAAGTAAAATTATTGTAGTAATTTATATTGTTAACTAGTTATATTATTTAATTACTAGTAAGTTAATAACAAACACAGGAGCATTAAAAGCTTTTCTATTTGATGTTAGACCAACAAATAGTAATTCAAATCAAAATGTAAATTCATAACATATTGTTTTGCAAGATATTTATTATATACTTATATGTATATATATTTTCTTAATCTTTTCGTAACAAAATATTGTACATACAATCTTTATCTTTTTTAACATAAAATATTGTATAGATTACGCAATTGGTGACGATAATTTTTTATACAGTTTTATATTTTACTACACGTATATCTTCTTTTTTTTTTGTAATTAGAAGAAACATGTACATATGCATGTTATTAAAAGGCACACATAACCTTTTATAATGTTTTATTGTTGCCTTTTAAGAATATGTATATCTAATTAGAATATCTATATCAGATATGAAAGAGATAAACATCTATACGTACTAAGTATATAAAATCTATATGTGTATTTAATGATTCAGCATATTTTTATATATAGTGCATATACATATGTAGTACATAGGTATTTTGTTAATATATTGCACTATAGTCAAATTTTTGGATATCAAATATTGAATATAATTCTAACCGAGTTGGATTGATTAAAACGTAATAAATACACGTTATAAAAAGTTATATTAGAAAAGCACTTGCCAATTCTTACAGATGTTGTTATTATATTAAGTTTTTAGTAATCTAATTTTAGTGTGAAACCCTATAAAAAATTTGTAATTTTCGGATATAGCATTAATAATTTTTTAAAATGTTTAAATAGAAACAAGTTAAATTATGAAGAAATTAATCTTGTAAAATTTTGTGCACCTGACTACTTGATTCCTTGACTACTTATTGTTAAAAACTAGTTTTTATAAATATTTTTATATAGTACATAGTTTAGATAGATATTGAAGAAATAGATATTGCGCATAGTATTAATATGATGCGTATACAACTTTCTATTAAATTAATTTACTTTAATATAGTATTACAAATTTCAGAAATGGGACAGAATGGTGGAGATTACGAAAAGAGTTCCAAAAAGTTTCTAGTAAACCTCAAGACGTGATCAATTATTTAAAAGAAACAGATGATGTCATTCAAGAATTTGTTGAACTATGTATTAATGAGAAGTTTGATGACTTCTTACCTCTTTTATCACGCTTATTCCTTGAATGTAATATGATTACACATATCTCTTAATATACATAGAACTGAAGTTTCTTTTTTGCAATTACATTTCAACTATGTTATACTTAAATTTAATGATTGGTGTCATATCTTAATAGACAAACAGACACACATACTATTAATAAATTTATATACATATAAATAAAAAGATGTACTATTAATGTCTAATAATCTTTTCTTTACTTGATTTTAGTGACATGTCTGGTTGTTTTTGATGTAAGATTGAATAGTTTCTCAAAAGAAGAAAGATGTGAAAATTCTAAAAGTTCAAAATTAATCAAGGCTGCCTTTACAACAAATAGCGTAATGTTAAGGTTGGATAATGGATTGCAATTATGGCGTTTTTTTGAAACCCCATTGTACCGAAAATTACGTAAGGCACAAACATACATGGAAATGTAAGCAATAATTTTTAATCTTACACAGGATTATCATTTATTGTTTATGATTACTAGATTATTTCTCATTATACAGTCTTCAAAATCACGAATTTATTGAAGTTGCTCATAGATAATTTGCATAATTTATTATCATTATATTGTAAGTTCTACAATAAGAAAAGCACAGAAGGTTTTTATATGCTGAAAATAATTATTAACGTCACATTAACAATATTTGTCATAAGTAGACAGAAATGTGTGTGTGTATTAATATAGTTTTATATCAATCAGCTTAACTCAATGAAAGCTCAAGCAATCTAAATATTTCATTCTGTATATTATACTTAGCTTATTTTTAAATGCTATACCTCATATGTTATGTCTTTCTAATGTATCAGGGTTGCATTAGAATTGGTATCTCAGAAAAAAGAGAGCACAAAAACTGGACATAACAAATCATTCTTAAATGCCTATTTACAAAATCCTGCTCTGGATATTAAGGATATTGTGGGCATGGCTTGTGACATGTTACTTGCTGGTATAGATACTGTAAATATTATAATACATATCATTATAGATGTAACTACATATTAGTGTTATATTTATGCATGTGCATGTTTATTATTAATTTAAGAAATACGAATAACATTTAGATATTTGTAAATACATAATTACTGTATTGATTGAATATATAAATAAGAAATTTAGATCTTTATTTACATATGTAAAATTTGTTTATTTTATAGAAAACAGATTATTATATATATACATTTTATAGTGAACAAGTAAATATCTACATGATGACATCATTTAATATGATATTAAGTCTGAAAATAATTAATGCTTATTATATGTTATGTTATATGTTTTTATACAAAGTGTAATGTCTAGGAACATTATGGGTATAAATACTACTATTAGAAACATTATATATATAGATACTATTATATTTTTAAAATAGATATATGTCTTATTAAAAACTTGTGATATAACTTATATTATTTTATAATATGTTATACATTTTTAAGCTTACACATAATATAAAAATTTAATTGAATTTGACTAATTCCCTATCCTTTTACTAACATTACTAATTTAATAGTGTAGGCTAACGATTATAAAAAGAGAGAAATTAAATATATAACATTTCTGTGCCCCTAGACTACTTACAGTACTGCTTTTGCTTTATATCATCTGGCAAAACATCAAGATATTCAAGAAAAATTGAGGATTGAAGCCACACAGTTTTTAGCTGATCATAGTCAACCAATAACAGCAGTTGTGTTGCGAAATGCTTCGTATACCAAAGCTGTCATTAAGGAAAGCTTGCGATTAAATCCAATTTCTATAGGAATAGGTCGCATATTACAAAATGATATTGTTCTTAATGGTTATCAAGTACCTAAAAGGGTAAGTTATAAATCTTAGCAAAATGTAAATTAGTTGATGTGCTATAAGTTTCAATAGAATTCACTTTCAATGGATAACAGCTTCATTTTATTAATATTTTTAATAATATTTTGTTATATTAGAAAAGCTATATATAACATATTTTCTTTTTATGTAAATACCTAAAGTAAAAATATGTTCGCCTCATTCGTTCGTTTCTTTTAGACTGTTGTTGTAACACAAAACCAAGTCACTTGTCGTCTTCCTGAATACTTTAACAAACCAGACTTGTTTATACCAGAAAGATGGCTACGTGAACATTCAGAAAGTAGCAGTAAAATAAATTGTGGAAAATCAGTACATCCATATGTATTGTTACCTTTTGGTCATGGTCCTAGATCTTGTATTGCTAGACGATTTGCAGAGCAAAATATGCAAGTATTGTTATTAAGGGTAAGTTTTTAATATTTAATATAATATTGATTTTCAGACATTTTTATGCCTACACAAAAAATAATATATAGTTTTTAACAGTAATATTCAAGTTTAATATCTTGTTTTATTAATTAATTAATTATATTATATTATTATTATTATATATTATTTTTATATTATAATTCTATGTATTAATTAAATATTATACAATATTATTATACAATCCCCACATTTCTTGAAATTTTGTTATTTCACGACCGATTATATCTTCTTCTAGCTTTGTTCACCTATACCGATTAGAACTTCATATTGTGTGTTCTCAATCACTTGTTATATGTATATTCTGGTACCATTTGTTGTCATATTAGTATAAATAAATAAGCGGTAAATCTTTGGGTATCAAAATTCGATATAAAGATACGCAACAGGATCGATTGATCATTTGTTGCTTTTTCGTCGCTATATAAAAAGAATGATGTGATATTTAGGTAATTATTTTTAAAACGGATGATATCAATGACCTTGAAATATGTCATCAAAATTAACATTACCGCCGCTCAAGTCTTAAGTTCTGAGATATTCTCAAAATGCTTCATAAAATTTGAGTTACATTTTATTCTGGAATAGGCGGTCACATTTTTATATAGTCCAATCTAATAGACTTAACTCACTGATGAGACAGATAATCATTTTTAGTATTGTATAAATAAAAGAGGAAAAATAATGGGTTATGGATTATGCTAAAGAAGTATTCGGCCGGTAATGCCTAGCGTGAAATAATTTTTGATGAATCTCTTGGAATGTTGCACTTTATTTTGATCTTTAATTGATCAAAATAATTTATGCAAAATGTATACCCGTTCCCGTCGCAACCTAATGATAACCGTGCACAGCCTTAGTTTTCGTGTTATACACAAATACAAAAATATGTTCGGTATATTGATTCCTCTATTAAAAGCTTATTTTCTCATGGATGACCGAGTATTCTGATTAGTTTTGTTATATTATGCAACACATATACATGTATTATGTTTGCATTTGTATGAAAAGTCCTTTTATCGAATTCTATAGGCATTATTAGAGAAGAAACATACAAGATTATACACAACAATAATAAATTGATATTTGCTTAGAATTATAATAGATATAATTAGACAATTAGAATCAGATAAATAGCTCAGAATTCCTTTGATAAATCAATGTCAATTTTGTGAATAGTCACGAAATGTACATGATTGATATAAATATTATATGTTGATAAATAAGTAATGCGTGTTGAAGAATCAGATATTAAATAGAATGTCACTTCTTAATGACATTGAAAATTAGAGATAATTTTGGTGACCTTAACCGTTTTAGACACAGGGGTCCTTGAAAAAACAGGGTTGAAAAATCCCGAACAGCGCGTTAGCGCTCGTCTAAATCGATTGTGAAGAGAAACAAGCGGTGCAATAGCGCTCGTCATATTTATTATTTTTATGAAATACATCTATATTATATATGCGTATGTAAATATTTCAAGTTTTGTTCAATAAAAATTATTGAGAAGATAACAATGAAATACAAAATACCGTCAGTCGTCCGTAGCGTTCAAATGTACTGGAACTTTTCGACACAAAATCTAAACAGCGTGATCGCGCTGCTTGGGACTCAAACAATTAAACAATTTATCGATAGCACGGATAAATAAAATATAGCGTCCCATCAAAGAAATAAGATTAACTTTTATTTTGTTAGCTCTTTCTAAGGAATTTTTTGTTACTATATGTTGTGTATTTTTTTTTGGTACAATTAAAATATACGCAAATGTTTTATACATGCTATATAAAGTAATATAATCTTCTTATTTTGTGCAGATGTGTCAACGACTCAAGATTTCTTGGCATGGGGGTGAACTTGGAATGATATCTTTATTAATCAACAAACCAGATGCCCCATTAAAATTCAATTTTCATGAGGTCTTAAAAACCAATTCTACTTGTTTTCAAAAGAACGAAATAGTATAAGCGAAGAAATATTATTTTTAATGAGAAAATATGTATAAAAGTAACGAAAGTATAACATTAAATAAGAAACAAATTACAATTTATTGTATACTTAATAATTGAAAATTAATTATGATATTGTAATTAGCAGTACAGTATTTTGATATTCTTATATTTTAGAACAAATAAGAATAGTGTACATAATAAATTTAATTATAGGTCATATATTTAGGAGTTGCAGAAAACTTAGCATAAGATTTAATCACTTTGTTTACAGCTTCTAAGAAGTCTTTCTCTGTAGCTACCTTCCGACGTGCACGAATCGCGAACATACCAGCTTCTGTACATACAGATCGAATCTCAGCTCCAGTACTATTAGGACATAAACGTGCAAGGAGTTCAAATCTGATATCTCTTTCAACACTCATTGAACGCGCATGAATTTTAAAAATATGTGTTCGTCCTTCTAAATCTGGTAATCCAAATTCTACTTTTCTATCTAAACGTCCTGGTCTCATCAATGCTGGATCTAATGTATCTGGTCTATTTGTTGCCATTAAAACTTTAATGTTACCTCGTGGGTCAAAGCTAAAATATTTAAAATCACATAAATATCATCATTACCTGTTATATATTACCTACTATTAATTATTGAAGATATTTAATAATAAAACATATGTTTTACCCATCTAATTGATTAATCAATTCTAGCATAGTACGTTGTACTTCATTATCACCACCAGCTCCATCATCAAACCGAGCTCCTCCAATAGCATCAATTTCATCAAAAAATATTAAACATGCTTTTTTACTACGTGCCATTTCAAATAATTCTCTTACCATACGAGCACCCTGTTAGATATAACAGTTATATATAATGTAATTACATGTATAATATAATACAATAACAACAACAACAATAATGATAATACCAATATAGTATGATATAATATTGGTTTCAGTAATAAGTTCATTCATTTTTCATTAATTATTCATTAATCATTTCATTTATCATTTTAGAAGACATCACACAAATTTATTTAAAGAATATAAAAAGACATGTATCTGAGCTTTTTTTTTAAAAATATATACATATTCATAGAGAAATAGAGTGAATAAATTATTTCTTGATTAATATTATACAAAACTACTAAAATATTCATGTGTCTTTTAAAAATACACCAATGAACTTATTACTCAATCTAATGTAATAATAATAATTTAATATTATTATGTTTACTTCAGAAAATAGAATATTCTTATTATTCTTATTACGTAGTTATAAACTGAACATAGTTAGAAACTGAATTTCATTTATAAAAAAATATCATATAGTTAATATAGTTAAAAATAATTTTAGAGGCGGTCGTCTAAGTAAGATAAATGAGAACACTAGCTAACTAACAATTCGGAGAGTAAAAGAAAATCGTAAAATATCAGCATTGAAAATTGATAGTGCGCTGAAAAATGAGCTGCATATCGAAGTAAATACTAGTAAAGTACAAGATTTTTTAAAAAGCATACCGTGGAAGGATGACTCGTAAAAAGTATTATACAAGCGAAACTAATAGAATTAAGAGATTAAGCTGTGCATAGAGGTATGTGAACGTGCTAATTGAGTTCTGGAAACGAATCATTTTTACAGATGAAAGAAAATTTGGTATCTTTGACTCTGATGAATAATTTAGAATTTAGATCTAGAGTATGGAGAAAAAAAAATATGTAACATAAAAAACAAAACCTGCTACCAACCGTATAACAGTGGAGCATCTGTTTTATTTGGGGATGTGCAAGTGCTGATGGTGTTGAATATCTCTTCATTTCATTGACACTATGAATCATAAAATATATGTCGGGTTTACATTAAAATTAGGGTTAGGGTCGTGAAACGAAACTTCGTTTAGATTACACATTGTCGTTATGCAATAGAGAAAACATTGACTAGTGCGAATACGATTATTATAGAATTGGACAAGTAACCGTGGTAATTAGATACTCGAGAAACTAATGACAATGATCCTAGGTTCAATAACGAATCCGCGGTCGACGGGATGACAGATGAACATGCTCAGAAAATCTAAGTCGGATGCGTAATATTCACTGATCGTAAGGTGTTACTCTATTAGTCGATGGGACCGCAAGAAAGAATGACTTTCCGTCCCGACGATGCCACAGAAGAAAATTATGATGGGGTAGGTCTAAGGACACGAGATCATCGGATTCGTCGGGGATAGCCTTCGTTCGGAAAGTAAGGGAAATTGACGTTGCTGCTAATTGGTCAATCTCCATATCGGTAGTTAGAAAAAGATGCTAGCCGCCCTCGAAGGAAAGTTGCTAGTGGGAGACGTCGTTCATTGAAAAAATAGATCTCCCCTAACTTCCCGTAGTTGGGACAAAGACTGTTTGTCTGTTTGAAGGACTTTAGGTAATTAGATCTTAGTGTTTATAACGACCCTCGGACTAGCTGATCACGTACTGTGGAGACGCGTCGGCATTTGGTAACCATCATACCCGAAGAATAGGATCTGCGTGTGGCGAGCCACGGGACAGAAACCGTTGGAATGTTTACTGTCGCGTGCCGCTACAAATATTTCTTTTAAGGAGAGCTATAGAATTACTCCGTACCTTTGTTAGGCAAAGCGACCGCGGCTACGTTCGGCAACTGGCTGTCGCCTCGAGCCCAAGCTCATTATCACAAATCTCGAACAAATATAATCGGTTCGAAAGACGACAATTGTTTAATTACGCCTATGATAGAATCTAGATTACGGTGTTAGGGGATTTTCCCTTAGTTCCAAAGGGAAGGCTCCGATGTCCTTTCATCTCCGACATATATATATATGGATATTAAAAAAAATAATTTTCACCAAAGTGCAGAAAAAATGGGTTTAAAAGACAATTTTATTCTGATGCAAGCATCATAAAAATGTTGGGATCATAATGATCAAAAACACAACGTTAATAATATGCGAGCAGAATCTTATATAATGTTCGGAAACACTTTAAAAGACCTGCACAATCCCCAGATATAAATATTATTAAAATATATACATTGGATTACCTGAAACGAAAAATACGAATTCACCATGTTCAATGAATTCATTCATTCATCATGTATCACGAAATAATTTAAAGGGAGCAGTTTTGGAAGAATGGGATAATATTTTTAGTTATTTAGTAGACTACTTATTAATTAGATAAATTCAACGTCGCAACAACTTCAAGCTATAATAAAATCAAAAGGGAATAACACTAAGTATTAAAATAATTAAATTTCGTGATTTAGATATTAAATCTTAATATATTTTTCTATTAAACTGTAACTGTATCACATTTTTTTTAAATGGAAATTATTTTGAAGACTTCTAAGAATATGTATATATTTGTTATGTGTTAAAATTTGTTTTGTTGAAATTAATTACCGTACAAATTCTTTTTACACTGACTGTATGTATACTTTACAACAAATTTAATAATTTTTTACCGATTTCAACAATATAAATTTTTATCTCTAATAACTCAAAAAATTAACAGACCTAGAAATATAATAAGTCTTATTATTTATTAAGCATATGAATCAAACCTTGAACCAGTAACTGTATTGTTTTTGAAATTTTTAACTTTTTGATTTGATTTGATGAATCAAAATTTTACTATAATTTTATGTATATTATAAAATCAATTGTATTTGCAATGTACGTTGACTAAATATGTATATAGTATCAATTATATTAAAAAAAATTGTTAAATTTGGTATAAAAATCTTATTTTAGGGATATTTTATACATTTTTATCACAAAAATATAAGTGATTTTACAGATAGTGTATCAAAAACTGTTATCAAGTTATTCTAGAGAATTTAGACATCTCTGAGTACGTACATTTGTGTACAAAAATTGATTTTTAAGCACATTTTTAAAATACTTGTTACACCAGGCGATTCATAACTTGAAAGCTAAGGTATACAGGAGATATGTGCATATAACGTTCTTTACTTATTTTAATGTGTAGAGTAATTGCCAGAATATCAACATGCATTTATGAATTACCTTGTATATTCACCATTAACAAGTTATAAATACCTAAGCTATTAGAAATATCAAAAGTCTGATTAACAAAATAACAAAAGGAATGATTTAATCATTAGTGAATTTAATCATTAGGGAATGATTTGATCATTAGTTCGCAAATCTACATTATATTTCCTTAAAAATGATTTTTTGTTTACTCCTGCATACTTTATTTCTTAGTTAAGCATTACTTAATAATTTCGAGTCAAGACATATGTTATACTTACTTCGCCAACATATTTTTGAACCAATTCTGAACCAATGACACGAATAAAACAGGCATCTGTCCTATTAGCTACAGCTCTAGCACATAAAGTTTTGCCTGTACCTGGTGGACCAAATAACAATACTCCTTTAGGTGGCTCGATTCCCAGATTAACAAACTTTTCTGGCTGTAATAAATAAATTATTTTTTTCTAATTATCTTGTACAAAAAAAAATTAATTTAATGATTATAAAATACTAACATGTAATAAGGGTGTTTCAACTACTTCTCTCAATTTTTCAATTTGTTCTTTGCAACCACCAACATCGCTATACGTGACGTCAGGTTTCTCTTCAACTTGCATCATTGTTACAGTTGGATCAATTTTTGGTGGAAGTGGAATATGAATTTGATATTTATTACGATCCACTCCTACTCGCATTCCTTCTTCGATGTCAGTAGGAGCAACTGAATCTGCTAGATCAACTACAAACTTTGCAAACTGTTTTACATTTATAATGTATTTAGGATCGTCTGAGTTTGCATTAATTATTTTAGTGCAGCGTGCAACTTGCAATGGTTGCTCATTTTGTAAAGTTTGTTTATCCGCAGCTAAATCCCACAAAGCAGGCGGTGCAAGACCCGTATCGGACTCTTTGATTCCAGTCAATTCGTTAACTCGTTTAATTATTGTTTGTATATCTTCTTCAACTGCTTTAATACTTTTAGTATATTGTCCTTGACCCTGTATAAAACATAATATGTTAGCGTTATTTTTGTTAGAATAATTCCAAGAATCTTTATTCTAAATTAAATTTATTTTTTATTAATATTTTATTATCTATTATTACCAAAATTATTATACAATTTCACTTACGTAAGTTTTAAGCAGAGCAATGTCTCCTTCATCGAGAGCTGAAATAATACATTAATAAATTCTTTTAAATCACAGTTAAAGGCAAATAATTAATATTTAAAGCTTACACTTTATTTCTTTCTCTTCTTTTCCTTCTTCGCTTTTTACTTTTCGCATGTCTTCTCCTAAGTGATCAGGCATTGTTATATTAGTTAAATTTTTCAAATATTAAGAAATGTTAAGGATACTTTATTCGACGGATAAAGAAACTGATGTAAACCGAATTTAAGGTTAGGTATTTTCCATTACTAGCAAAAACTCTGTAGCGACCAGCGTCACTGACTCCCGACGTGCCATCTAGTTGTAACTAGATTTAGTTAGTTCCTTTCGTTATTGATAATCGGTAAACAGCAAATAAAATAAACAACATAACATCACCGACGACGAAATCACTATAGCCTATAATTTATTTATAAATTTTTAACTATAATATAAAATATACGAAATAATAAAGCAATATTTCTTAAGTGTTCATAAATTTGGCTAATTTTTGTTACTTTGTTTACTTTTTCTAGGAGACGATTTTCGATTCTTACGTATTAACGCATACGCATTGTAATGTAATTGTTACGTTACCGCACGAAACTGATTGTAGTACTACCTTAACACTCAGCCAACTGAATGGGGAGAGAGAGATCTGCCTACTTTAAAGTAAATCGCTGCATGACCGATCGGAGAGATCCCTCCACTTTAAAGTAAATCGTTGCATGATCGATTGGGGAGGTCTCCCATTTTGACCTTAGCAAAAGGTTTCGCGCGTTTTCATTTTCTTTCTTTTTTTCTTTTTTATTATCAGTTATTGTTTAGGCTTGTCCAAGCGTGGTGAGAAACGTATAGTTGGCTGTGGCGCGCGCGTAGTTGATTAAGTATTAATATCGTCAGTTATGTGAAATTACGTTTAGCATGCATATAGGGTGATATAACTAACTCGGAACGTGCGCTCGCCAAAACATGTAAACGACAATAGTGTAACATGTACGCTTGCTACTGCAATAAGTCACTGAAGGATTTTAAATTTGACGTTACAATAAGAAGATGACGGTCGCAGAGAAAGCGTAACTCGCGTTTTCGCCCGATGATTTCATGCGCCTCTACATTCCCGAAGTTTCGTAGCAAGAAAGGGTATCCGGTTCTGTTTCCACACGCGGCTCAATTTTTGTTTTTAATATCTTTTGATATCTTGGATTATGCATACCTGAAATATCATTTTTTGAAATTTAGAATTGCATTCAACTGTCAGAGTAATTAGCGAATTACAATGAAATTGTTCACGTTCTTATAAACATCGTGATTCTTTTTCTATTTTGCTTGGTAACTTTTATTTTAACGTATTAATTCTTCTAAGTCGTAATTGAAAATTTATCAACGATCACTTTCCACTAATTGTTCGCTATTACCTGCAAATATAAGAATAAGGAACAAAGAAAATAATTGAGATACAATGAGATATCTCACAGAATTCATATTTAGACAGACCAGTTTAAACAAATAGAAATTAATTGAACTCTCGTACTGTTGTGCTTGGATCCCTTTGGACTTAATCGCTTTCTTTGTTCTTTATGCTTACATGCGACGCATTTACAGTTGAGCGACCCAAAATCGATCAATTCGTAGAAAATTATCGTTAATAAATTTTGAAATACGTAGAAGGAAATGTGTAATACGTTAAAAATGAAAATTAGCCAACGAAATAGAAAAAGGATGTCGATGTTTGTGAGAATGTGAACAATATAATTGTATCGTAATTCGCCAATAACTCTGGAAGTTAAATGCCACTATTTGTGTTTAGCGGTCTTTTTTTAAATAAACGGGATAGAATCCATAAATATATATTCATAATTAGAATAGAATAATTTTTGAAAAGATAGATGGTTTCTGTGAAAATAATTATTGCGTGTAGCCGAATAAACGTTTAGAAAAATATGAATAATTATGTATTCCAATATAAAAAGTGAAAACAATTGCACGTTACGCGTGACTCAACCAAGCTCCATTTTTCATTCGAACAATTAGAAAGGAGCTTAGAAGATTTTTTTTATACGAGTTATATTGTTGTAGTAGTATCGATTGATACATCTTTCTATCCTGTCCAAAAGTTTGGAACTTGATTAAACTGATTCGATATATCGGTTAATGTCATTTATGATATAATGAATTTTTGAATCACTTTTCCATCCTTTTTCTCACATTACTTAACACGTAAGTTGTCTCTCACCGTAATTTTTTCTGTTTTTAGCAAAACGTATTGTCGAATACTTCATATATTAGTAATATAGCCCTTTAATGTTTCGGCGTTCTTTTCTCATGGAAAATTGCTAGTAGCGTTAAACTAAACTGCGACCATGAGATTATACATATACGTATATAAATTAGATGTATCGAGTCAATTGTCATTATACCTTTCATTTAGATATTCAGTAATATGTAATTTAACAATTATGTTTATATGATGAGAAACTAAATTCTATTAAAAGTACTTATGCACCAAGTAAACTTACTATACAGGCAAAGGAGTATTTTTATCATGTAATTAAAAGTAAGACCTATTTATTCGATATTTGACGAGATCTTTTCTAGTTACTTTGTTTCGATTTGCATATAACGAGAAAGATAATGAAAACGCATGGTGGGATTTCAATGATTTTGAAAAAAATATAGTAAAAATATACAAAAAAAAAAAATAAAAGACCATTCAATAAACAAGAAGCAAAACGAAATTACATCGCATTTGATGGAATGATCGTCTACAGTAGGTAGCTTTACTGTCTTCGTTTTGTTGCATCAATGAATTCATCGAAAATTCTTTGTTGCCAGAATAGCTGCTTCACGACAGCCAGGATACAAGGTATAAAATGCAATCTAAAAAGCCACTCATACTCGTCTTGTGATTCGTGGCTTTGTGTGAACAATATTCTATTTTTTTCAAAGTCACTGGATCCGATTGGCCGTTTTCATTAGTTTTTTTGTTATATGCACAGCGCAACCAAGTAATTAAAAGATATGCACCGATAGGTTGACCAAACATTTATTTAGTCTGTTTATTGAATATGCCAGATCAGAAATTAATATTTTATGAAACGTGTTGTATTTAACTATTAGATTTTTTTCTATACATGATAATCGAGTACATTGATTGGTCATTACGTCCCATTACTGGTACAGCTAGCTAAGAGGTAATAATTCTTTGTCTACTTACAAAATTCCAAAAACGAAATTAACATCCTTTTAGATATGTCTTACGAAGTGCCAGCAACAGTATTTTGTTATTCGTCGAATTTCTATCAACTCAAAATCTCAAAAAAAAAAGAATTTGATAAGAAGAAAATGTTGGCATGTCGCATTCATTGGAAATAACAACATAATAAATATTAATAAATAACAATAAGATAAAAAAATGGGTATATCGGGATTATTTGAAAAAGATTTTGATACAATCTTCTTCGATTTCTAAAAAATAAGATATACACAGCAGGTTCGTCTTAAGCGTATACGCGTTATTGTTTCTACGATTATCGACAATGCAGAAAAATGTTTTATACAAAACCTTAAAAGTACTTTAATGGAATATTTACATTCTTTCTAATTGCTATATAATCGTTCTCTATATCTATTGTATACAGAGTGGCCGTTTGAAGTTAAATATAGAAAACAAGCTACTAATCTATAAAGACATAATCAACACGCACGGTATCCAATTATGGAATGTGGAAGTGGAAGCCGTGCAGTCGATCATACTTGGTACCACTTGGTAGTAGACGCATCTTGCTACATATGAAATGAAGAAATGCGCAAAGATTTTCAAATCCTGACTGTAAGGGAGGAAATTCAGCGAGTATCCGACGGATGTAAATCAAAAACAATAAACCACTCAAATACATTAGCCGATACACCGTATATCGACAGTGCCATTAGACGATTGAAAAAGAAACAACGGCAGGACCTGGTGACGTAAACTCAAATATTCTTGCGAACGTATTCTTACGAGATTAGCAGCCACACGCTATCTGTTTCGACCGTTCGCGGAGAGACGCGATCGCGAGATAGCACGTCAACGAGAGTTGTAAGTTCCCGTTACGATTAAATAATCGACGCCACGAACTGATCGATCCCCTTATTTCTATTACGATAATAAGGGTAGTTCAATGAAATTGCACAGAATTAACACAAATAAATTAATGTTTATTTCAACAACTTATTAACTAGAGAGATATAAATGGAACAAAAACAAAATATAACTGCGTTTTGGTTGATAAGTAATGCGCGATGTATGATATGTGTTGACGGTTCGACTTCTCGAAAAGTTCTGATCGCCCTTCGATCTTTTTCGTCTTTTCTGGAAGACGACCCCCACTACGTTCGGATCACGCCACACTCTTTTACGCGAGGTAAAATAACGGCCACGAGTCGACGTTTCTGGAAGTCGCCCTGCTTAATGAACCATGCGCTTGCCACTACAATGTTTATTTACTATCCTTTATATTTGTTTCCTATCCTTTAGGGAGAAGAAAATCCCACGCACCTAACCCCAACCCGAATACTAGCCTCATAGCCTCACGACTAGTTATTCATTTTGAATTAACTAGCTCGATGACGGCCCAGGAATCAAGACCAGGCTCTCCTGAGCAAATTCGCAACTACCCCGCGCTACCTCCTCCGTGACAAAAGTGCAGCAGATCCCCCCGTACCAATGACGCCAATAATACAAAAAAGCGAAAGATAGAAACACCAAAATCAAACACGATCGACACCCGGAACGAACAATCAACGATACAAATAAACACACACAACACAACAGGTTCGCCGTATTGCAATTCACTAACGACGCCATGGAAATCGCAGACCCGCCGCCAAACCAACAAGCACAGAGAATCCCCCCTCACCCACCAATATTTGTTGATGATGTCATCGACTTCCAAACAATGATCAAGTCCTTAGAGAGAGATATCTCCAAGGAGGACTACAACTTAAAGATAAATAACAACAAAGTAAAAATATTGCCGACGAACCCAGAAGCTTACAGAAAACTCACCAAGATACTTAGGACCCAGAACGCCAATTTCCACACATACCAACTCAAACAGGAAAGGCCTTTCCGGGTCGTCCTACGAAACATACACC